GGGATAAACACGCCTGCCTGCAGATAGCAGGATAACGGGATCTGTGGACCTTAGGGATAAAAGGAAGTTTAATCATCATGAAACTCAAGGCTGGGGCCCAGCTGTCCATGAAAGTGGGCCCCACCCTTTGTCTGGACCCCACCCCCCAGTGTTGGGTAAGTTCATTGCTTCCTGCGATGGATCCATCCATTGTTGGCAGCTGGGGTGGCAGGAAAGTGCCCAGACCGGGCAGGTGGATACAGCCACAGTCAATCCAGATTTTCTTTAATGAATGAAAACCAAACGGGGCTGTAACTTCACTGTGATCTCTTCTACCCTTCTACCCTGTCTTCCAGTTCTACGTTCTTTAACAACACTAAAAATAGCCTGCATTATTGAGGGCCTGTCATATGCCAGGCTCACTTCTGAGTGCCTTAGGTATATTAATAGGTTTAAGTCTTACAATAACCCCATGAAGTAGGTGTTATTATTATTCCCACTCTGAAGATGAGCGGAGTGAGGCCCAGGGAGGTCAGTAATGACTCCAAGGTCACTCGGGGTCAGTGGGGACCCACGTGCCTGCTCCTGGAGCCATTGTGTACATTGCTCTAGAGTGGTGATTTTCAACCAGTGTACTGGGAGAGACTCTTTGGTGAGCTGCGAACATTTTCAAAGATTAATTAAATTATTTTTGAAAGAAGCCCAAAGCACAGTATGTAGATTCTTTTTTTCACTCTTTTTTTGATCAACATAATTTAAGTGTGCTGCTGAAGCTTAATATGGCTTCAAGTGTGCCGTGAGATACAAAAGGTTGGAAAATGCTGCTGTAGAGACCAAGTACTCTGCTGTCCATGAGGATGGCTGCTCTGGAGCCTGCACTCAGGCCTGGGCAGGTGCTACACGGGCCGTCGTGCTTCTGTTTCTTTCCTCCTAGTGTGTTTTCTAAATGTGGCTCCGTAGAGTAAGCTGCCTGCACCTGGGTGCCGGTTGTGAGTAGTGCTGCCTGAGCAGGGACCAGACAGGGACCAGGGCATCCAGGGGGGCCACACAGTATGAAGGAAGTGCCAAGGGCAGGTGTGTGGACCCCAGGTGAGCTGAGGTCTCCAAGACCTGCTGAGGGGTCCTTTCGCTCTTAGAGCAATGAGCGATGCATTGGTGACCCTGGAGAGAGACAAGCCAGCCTTCCCAGGGAGGCTTTTCCTGAGCCCCCCAGGCCCAGCTCTTTGCTTTTCCAGAGCTTCCGTCATTCTTTCTGTGCTCATCACCATGAGGGCAGGGTCTGCTTTGGAGTTCCATGTGCCTAGTAGTGCCACATGCCTGGATGCAGCTTCCAGGACCTGCAGGTGTGAAGTTGAGCATTTCAGAGACACACACATGTGGTGGAATGATGAGAGCACTGGTATTCTGAGTGCTGGTTGTGGCAGGAGGTCGGTGCAGAGAAGACGTCTATGGTGTGTGTGTGCTGTGAGTCAGCTGTGATGCTGTGTTTGTGCTGTTCATCTATATGTGTGTGTCTCTGTGTTTGGGTGTGTACTGGCTGTATGAGTGTGATGTGTGTTTGCTTGTGTGCACACTGTGTGTGTTCTTATAATGTGCCAGACCCTAAACCCTTCCTGTCACTTATCTCTGCTGATCATGGTGACAACCTTATGAGATAGAGACCCAGTACTCCCTTGAGCAGTGAGGAAACTGAGGAACAGAGAGGTTAAGCAATGGGCCCACAGTCATGAGGCTCACAGGGAACCAGGTAAACTCAGGTCCAGTTAACCCCCAGACTCTAGTCTCTAAGGCAGTGGCTCTGAAGTGACTGCTGGCATTGAATCCCCCAGAGGGTTATGGAAACGTGGGTTGCTGAGCCTCATCCCTCCAGGCTCTGCCAGAGCAGGTCTGGTGGTGGGGGGACCGGGGAGGCTGATGCCGCGATTCTGAGGACCTCACCTGAGAATCTCCACTCTAATACCTTCTCCTTAATCCATGGACAGACAGAGTGGGGAGAGGGCTGGAACCAAAGCACGCTTTGGATTACTGTACTCAAAGTGAACTAAGAATGGGGAGAGGGCTGGAACCAAAGCACGCTTTGGATTACTGTACTCAAAGTGAACTAAGAATGGGGAGAGGGCTGGAACCAAAGCACGCTTTGGATTACTGTACTCAAAGTGAACCAAGAATGGGTGCTAGCAAAATCAGCAGAGAGTTTTAAAACTGATATTTTAAAGGCGAGCTCATCTTCCTGAACATTGAATCACTGCGTGTTTGGTTATCGTCCATCCCATACTACTCTAAAGGAAATGCAGCTTCCCACCTAGAAGCGGTGTTTGTGTTTGCAAGTGCCAGAGCCTGATCCTGTTAGTCTTGAAGAACAGGAAGGCAAGATGCATCTTCCAAGGAGAAAGTCAAATCCCATATGGTATTCTGCATGCATTAAATATCTTTATAGTAAGTACTAAGGCCCCAGAAAAACACTGTCCCTGTCATTCTGTGAGCAAGAGACAGGGCTGGAAACTGCAGGCCTTTTGGCCGGTGCTCTCCCTGTGAATGGGATCAGGGTCTCCTGTGAGTCAGTGTCCTTACTACGCACCGAAAGAGGTTTCTGGGGACCGTGAAACAAATGGACACCCCAACAGTCCGTGGCACATGGCAGGCAAACCATGTTGGGTGCGTTGATCTCACTCTGTGCCTCTTTCTGAATATTCTCCCTGCCAGGCTCAGAGATCAGGAGAGGGACCAGGGACAATTGAAGCCAACCACCACCTGGGGTCAGAGGGCTTGGCCAGTTCTGTGGTTTCTGAGGATTTGGGCGTGTGGGGTGATGAGGACAATGGTCGCTGTGCTCAGGATGGAAGCCCACAGTGGCCTCTCTCTGCTGACCCTCCACCCTGCTTTTTCTGGAAATGCCTTGAGGTTGAAACTGAATGGGGGTTTCTGACCCTGACTGGCTGGGTAGGTTAGGCGGGGCCAGATCCTGATGTCCCTCCCATTAGGGAAATCGAAACAGGTTTTTGGCACATTTTGCAAGCCGGGCCATTTTGAGTTTCCCAGATTGAAGTTTGGTCTTGTGGAATTTATAGAGATTGGCTCCTAGGGTCTGCTACATTTCAATTTGGTATGCAGCCTTCCGAGTCTTTGGAAATGTTTCCCCACACAGAGCCCTCTTAGGGCTGAGACGCGGTTAAGGCGCAATAAATCCCTCTTGCTCTTATTTTTGGGACTGGCCTACCACGGCCTTGTTAATTCACTTGGTCTCTGAGTCACAAGGATGATCTGTTCCCTGAAGCATCTTGGGGGCAGAAAAAAGAAGGCTTGGAAAGGGGACCCAGACAATTAGTCAATTTAGAAGCGAATTTTCTGTAAGCGTAAGAATACAACGGGTGCTCTCTATATGTTGGCTGCTTCCCCTGTCTGTGTAGTCCTGGCCTCTCCATGATCTTGTTTTCTCAGAAACCTCCCTTGCTTTGGTTTCTTTCTCATCCCACATGTGGACTATTTTTTTTTTTTTTTTTTTGAGACAGAGTTTCATTATGTCGTCCTCAGTAGTGGCGTCACAGCTCACAAAAACCTCAAACTCCTCCCAAGTAGCTGGGACTACAGGTGCCCACCACAACGCCTGGCTATTTTTTGTTGCAGATGTCATTGTTTAGCTGGCCTAGGCCAGATTTGAACCCACCACCCTTGGTATATGTGGCTGGCATTGTAAGCACTGTGCTACGGGCGCCGAGCCACGTGGACTATTTTAATTTTGTTCCTGGTCAGTTTTCCCACCCAACTCTCTTACTGGCCCATTGGTCTCCTGGCTTGGCCAATTATCAACCCGCCAAGGCGGGTCCAGTATCTGCCTGGCACCAGCACCCGGGGCTCTGTGTCCCCTGCTTGATGGAACATATTGTTATTCTTGTTACTCTAGCCACCATCACTCCTTAGAGCTACACTTAAAATACTAATGATACAATCATTTTTGACTGTTGGTAATGGTAGCCCGTTACTGAGCATTTACTAGGTGTCAGTGAGCACACATAGTGCTCAGTGTGGCATATTTGATCTTCCTGTCATTATCAACATGATGCCCTACCACCAGTCCTCATTTTACAGATGTGACATTGGGGGTGAGAGCAGTTAAGTGACTTGCTGAAGGTCATGTAGCTGGAGAGCAGGACAGCAGGGATTCTCTGCCTGTGGCCATGAAGGATGTGCTGTTGGCTGGGTGTTGTTGCCTCCACAGTACCAATCAGTAGGAAGCAGCATGGACCACCTGGCTCTGGAGTCAGGATGTGTGGGTGAGTCCCAGCCCTTCCAGGTGTCAGCTGCATGACCCCGGGTAGAGCACTATGTCAGGAACCCTGAACAGGGGCATTCAGTGGACACGTGACCACTGCCTAGGTCCCACTGGCGGATATTCTTGTCCATAGAAATACTGTTGGTTTCCTCTTGTAGAATCCAGCATCCCCATGTCTGGCTGATGCGATCTCAAGTTGTTAATTTCTCTCTTGTTTTTCAGGTAATGAACCAAAAAGATCATGTCTGAAGTACAAGGAACGGTGGAGTTTTCTGTAGAGCTACATAAGTTTTATAATGTGGATCTCTTTCAGAGAGGGTAAGTGTTCGTCACAATTTGTTTTTTGGATATGTTTGTGTATATATATGTGTGTGTGTATTGATTTATTTTCCTTGGAGGAGGTGGATGAGGGGAGGGCAGGTTATAGGAAATTTGAGATGAGTGAGGAAAGGATTTTCATTACGCTTTCTTGCCAAGTTGCAAATTTAAACCTTTAGTGCATCTGAAAGTAAAGCGTATATTGACAGACTAGAAAATGCTAATTTATCTCCTCCCTCCTGCAGCCCCTTGTACCTTCTCTCTTCTCGGTTGCTCTTTCCATGATAAATGTCTATTTTAAAGGAAAGTGAATTTATGGGAAATGAAGCTTGCCTGCATAGCTCAGATAAAAAGATGTCTGTGTGCTCGATATTTATGGAGGCCATTCCTCCAAAACCACATATATCAAACGTGTGCCTGGATGTTTCAAAAACTGAGAATGTTGGTATTTATAAATGTCCTCTTTAAATGCATAGTTAACATCTAGTTGCTTCTATTGTTTTGAGGATGTACTCTGAGTCTGCCATTCTACATGCATGATCTCACTAAATCCTCGTGATGCACTAACCTTTCAGAATCCCTGCAAATAATAAAGACGGGGAACAGTTATATAGGGCAACAGAATGCAGAGTGCCTTTGCACGCACTCATGGTGGCTGCTACTCCTGCCACGTTACTGATAAGGGAGCCTGAGTTCATGGAAATGATGTTATGTGTCCAAGTTCACAGAGCAAATTAGTGACCAAAATAAGGGGCATCTATTAGTTTGATTTTGGTGTATGACAAACTTACCCCAAAACAAAGTAACTTAAAGCAAAAACTTTAAGTTAGCACCTGATTCTGGGTGAGTAATTTGTGCTGGGCTCGGCTGGGTGATTCTGTTGAATTGGACCAGCCTTGGCTGCGCTCAGCCGGGCTTGCTTACGGGCCTGGGGCCCTCATGGGCGGCTCTGGTTCTCCTCCCTGTGGCCTCTCATCCTCCAGCAGGGCTAGAGTTCCTGGGCTTGGTACACATCTCTAGTTAGCTTCCATGAATAAGAACAGAAAATCTTTCGATGTCCAGCTTTGGAAATGCTGTTTGAATTTTCCTGGCCAAAGTGAGTTACAAGGCCAGTCCATATTCAGGGTGGAGAAATATTAGAGATACCATCCCTTGATTAAATAAAGAGTGAAAATCCATACACATTTTTATAATCTAACTTCAAGATTATACTTCAGTTTTAAAAGGATGGTTCTGAAATTAATGCTTCAAGTGCCTCTTGTGTGCTGTGGCCCCTTCTCACTTATAGGTGAAATTCAGTGGCCTGAGTGTTTTGGCAGGCGGCCTGACCCAGGCAGTGGGAGGAATGGTGACCCATTCTGGGACCAACTTTATGTTCCAGAGAAGGAGGCGCAGGAAGGGCTCTGGTCAGGGTTCGGGCCCTGGCTCTGAGGACACAGTTCTGTGCATCCTCCTGTGAGCCCCGTTGCCACGCACCGACCTCTGCTGATTTGACCACACGTTGCCGACACTGTGATGAGAGCACAGGGTGTGGGCTCTGCTGCTGCCGCTGGGCCTTCCCTTGGTCCACGGCTCTGCTCTGCTCTTTAGGTTCTATGTTTTCAAGAAAAGGAAATAGTTTTCATCGTGTCCTGGGGCTGTCATGGTGTTAGACATTTTTCTAGTCATTATCTCCTAACTCGTCGTAACTGATCGTAGCAGCAAGCAGTGCTGTCTTCATTTACCAGACAGCGGCCTGATAGCAGGGGAGCAGAAGAGTCCACAGCTTTGACACAGAAAAGGGGGAGCTGAGGCTGCAGCTTTCTCACTCAAAATTGTGTATTATTTTCTGTGATTTAAGGCTACTCTCCAAAGTGGGCTATGTTCTCCCCACGCTTTGTAAGATACCATCAGAGTGTGGGAAGAAGTATTAGAACTTGTTTTGCCATTGTTTTGGACAGAATGGAAAAAGAGATCAAGCATCACTGGTAACTAGAACCCAGACTCTCCTGAAAACTTTCCTTTGTCCATCCACAGTCACGAGCCCCCTGTAGTCACTCAGGCGCGAGGAGCCCACAGCACACACACACACTGGCATCCCTCGTGTCCCAAGCACTGCACTGGGACGGCCATTCACCTGCACCTATAAATTGTTTCCTACTTTTCACTGCACTAACCCTCATAGAGCTCTGAAAGAATCATGAAGGTAAGAAACCAGGAAATGTCAGAACCACAGTTTTCCTACTTCTTACAAGAGCCTGTTGCTATAAATACTGAAATTATAGATGACAAGTTATCATTTCCAACCTGAAGCGAGTTGAAAGGTGAAGTCTTACTCATAAAACTCCTTATATACAGATTAATTGTTTACAGCACACCTCATGCTCTATCGGACCTTGAAATACTGAGTGATCCTTGTGTAGAATCGTCTCCATTAGCAAAACATTGCAAAGTGTCCCATAAGGAGCACGAGTAGAACCCCACGAAGGTCTAAGGGAGGTGGGACAAAGAGTGTGGACCCTCACCTGGTCAGGGAGCCCAGGGTCCTCTTCTCTCAGATCTGCATGATTCGGGGGAAGCATCTTGTTCAGCCACATTGAACACTGAAGTCTAATATTGAATTAGGCTAAACAGTTTCAGTATCTTGTAATTTTTACAAAGTCTGGCTTATATATCTG